CCTACATACCAGGAAGTATTTCTCTGCACTAGGGCAATCAATCTATGAAGGAGTTGCTTTTGAATTATTCATTTCATTTTTTTCTTTTTATTAAAATTTATTGGGATGACATTGGTCAATAAGATTATATAGGTTTCAAGTGTTCATTTTTATGATACATTTCAACTACAAGTAATGGAGAATTTAACTTACAGAGGCTTAAACATTTTTTTCCCTCTTATATCAAGACAAGAAATCTGGAGGTAGACGGCAGTTACTAGCTTTGGTCCAACAGCGCAACAGTGATAGGTATACCACCTCTATGGAATAGAAAAAGAAAATGAAAGAGGGGGATAAGGACACATATTAATACCTGAATCAATAAAGAAATTTAAAAGAAAATAGTTGAAAAAAATGAAAGAGAAATAATCAAGATATTGTCTGATTCAGTTGCTAAACTTTATATATAAAGAACTCTTCAGATCCCTGGCACAAAATCATAAGAGAAAAAATATGTTTATCTCTCTGATTTTTCTATAGCAGCATTTAACACCAAAAGACAATGGAGTTGTGTTTACAAGTTCTGAGAAAATGTATGACCCAAGAATATTATACTCAGCCAGGTTGAACTCAATTTTAAATGCAGCTAGTAGAAATTCTTAAATATGAAAATACTTAAGGAATATAACACTCATGAGCCATTTTTAAAAAGTTTATAGGTGGTTAAATCCAGCTAACAAAAAGATGATTTGGAATAGTGTTAAAAGGACAAACGGGAGTCTAATGTTAGAAAGAAATGGAGGAATGTACACATTTTTGGAAGGAAAATGTATGTGATCCAAATCTATGGAAAACCAGGCAAGTTATTCTTCAAGTATAAAGGCAAAAGGCAGACATATTAAAGATAAAGAAACTCAATGGGTACAATACCTATGAGTGCTCTTGAAAATGTTACTTGTTGAAAAAATTCAGTGATCCAGGAAATGAATGAAAATCAAAAACTCATGCATGGAGAAAATGTGGTAAAAAGAGTGGCAAATTTATATCAATTTAAATATAAAATGAAACCTAAATTGACAGAAATTATTATTATAAAACTATGATTATATAACTATGATTGCATAACTATAAATATATAAATGTATTTAGCTATAAATATAACTTTTTAAAAAATGAATCTTTATTGTTCAGATTATTACAGTTGTTCCTCTTTTTCCCCCCCATAGCTCCCCTCCACCCGGTTCCCACCCCACTCTGTGCCCTTACCCCCACACTGTCCTCCTCCATAGGTGTATGATTTTTGTCCAGTCTCTTCCCGCACCCCCACACCCCTTTTCCCCCGAGAATTATCAGTCCACTCCCTTTCTATGTCCCTGATTCTATTATATTCACCAGTTTATTCTGTTCACCACATTTTTTATTTACTTGATTTTTAGATTCACTTGTTGATAGATATGTATTTGTTGTTCATAATTTTTATCTTTACCTTTTTCTTCTTCTTCCTCTTCTTAAAGAATACCCTTCAGCATTTCATATAATGCTGGTTTGGTGATGATGAACTCCTTTAGCTTTTTCTTATCTGTGAAGCTCTTTATCTGACCTTCTATTCCGAATGATAGCTTTGCTGGATCGAGTAATCTAGGTTCTTGGCATTTTTATGCCACAGTTATGGAGTCTCTTTGAATATTTCTTGCCACTCTCTTCTGCCCTGCATGGTTTCTGTTGAGAAATCAGCTGACTGTCGTATGGGTACTCCCTTGTGTTCTGTATATTATTCTTTATTTCAGTCAGTGTATGCTTAATTTTTGACTGGTCCTTGTCCATTTTTTTGGGAGGTTTCCAGAAGATTCTTGAGTAACCTTATAACCGTGGTTTTGAACTCTATATCCAGTAGTTTGCTTTCCTCCATTTCTTTCATTTGTGACATGTGTTTTTGTCTCTGAATTTTGGCTGTTTCTCTGTGTCAATAGAGTGGCTTTCTGTGCTAGGTGTCCTATAGGGCCCAGTGGCTCAGCCTCCCTAATTACATGAGGTGGACACTCTTGGTGCACCCCTTTGTGGGCTGTGTGCACAGTCTTGTAGTTAAGCCTTGATTGCTGTTGGTATCACTGGGAGGAATTGACCACCAGGCCAATTGGCTGTGAGGACCAGCTGTGTCTGCATGGGAGAACTGCTGCGCTGGAGACACCCTTATGGGGCAGGACTTGCTTCAGTGGGGCTTTGGTGCTCACTGAGTCTGCCCTTTGAGTGTGTCTCTTATGGATGTGAAGGATTTTAATCCAGTACGGTCTCACTCTGATGCCTAGGTACACTGGCTCTTGGATATCCAGGGAGGTGCAAAGTCAGCCACTGCCTGAGGCCATCTACAGAGACATCTGCAGATTCCTTTTCTTTGTTTGGGGTTTGGAGGTGCCAGATGAGGCCCAGCTGTGAAGCAATGCAGGCTGCTGTCAAGCCTTTTGGAAGCTCTGGTGCTCTCTGACCCAGTTGCAGTTTGTTAGGTTTTAGGCAGTGAGCGCACAGGCCATTCATATGCAAAAGCTGCTGCGTAAGCTTGGATGGGGTTGTAAATTGGGTGGGGCGGGGGTCTCAGGGAATCACCAGGGCGGAGCAAACAGCAGTGGCTGCCAGTCAGCCCTGCATTGGAGAGGTCCTCCCATCTCTATGTTTTCCCCCACCCCCTTGCCCCCCATGCAGGAACAATGATTGCTGCGAGCACCTCTGAGAGAAAGCCCACCTTGTGTTCTGGCCTGATGCCAGCCAATCCAGTTTCTCCCCATATGAGTCTGGGTCCCCAGAGTCTCACCCAGAACTGGAGTTCAGAGCAATCGGGAGCTTGTATCTTCCTCCGGATTGAAAAAGAGAACGGCACACCCAGTTGCCAGCCCATTTCATGCGTGCCTCTGTACCTCCACACTTCCATACCTCCGCACCTCCTACCAGCCTCAAATGCGCTTTTCTCTTTTCTTCTTGTAGAACTTCCATTCAGCCAGCCTTCCTGTGGTTCTGGATGATATCCATTTGTCTTTTAGTTGTATTTTTGATGTGGTTGTGCGAGGCAGCAAGTATAGGTGTGTACCTATGCTGCCATCTTGGTACCTCCTAAATATAACTTTTGATAATGTAAAAATAATATAACTAAGAAATATTAGGTGATGGTTATGGAGTACAAAAAGAATATGCAATAAAAAATAAGACTGATAATTTCTTTATCTTTCCTAGCAGTAAGTCAATAAACATTTGAATAGTCAGGTATTCTATGACTATTGTGGAATTAAGATATAAATCACAAAAATAATGCCTCATACCTTGAAAATTAAATAATACACTGTCACATACCCATGAGTCAAAGAAGAAATGACAACTTGAAAAATCTTTTGAGCTGAATGATAATAAAGATTCAACATACTCAAACCTGTGAAATATTATTCAGGTGGCATTTAGGGAGAAATCTATGCTTTTAAGTGCATATATTAGAGATCAACCGAAGGACTTGTATGCAGGCATATAAGCATAACCAATGGACACAAGGCACTGGGGGGGTAGGGTTGAGGGCATGTGCCGGGGTGTAGGGGAGGCCGAGGGAAGGTCAATGGGGGAAAAAAGTAAAGGAGACATATGTACTACTATCTGTAATACTTTAAACAATAAAATAAAATTAAAAAAATAGTTTAAAAAAGATGAAGGAAGTTGATAACCCCCTATCAACAAGGAAAAAAAGAGAACAAACACAAACTAACATTACTACATCGTGTTCATATTAAAAAGATATTGACATAATATTATAAACCATTTATGTCTCCCATTAAAATACTGCATTGTAATACTGGATTAACTTTTCTGTCACTGAACTCAGACTAAGACAAGGAGCTCAGACCAAGACAAGAGGTACTATCTGTATCATCTCTGTTTAGTTCACATGAAGTGCTCAATAATGCAGAGTTAATAACAGAGGAGAAGGAGCACCTATTACCCAGGATTGTAAACAAAGACTGCTTTCAATAGTTTTTATTGCTCAACCAATAATTGATGGTTGGGTTACTCAAGACTTTTTAGCTGTAAGTCTAAACAATAGCAATTTCAAAACCACGATATTAAGGAAACACACACACCTATTTTTTTATTTTAAGAAAAAGATAAATAAAATAAACAATATTATCCCAAAGCAATAGAGAGCTTTGAGCTAAATCCAATGTATCTTTCCTTTATTGTACACGGACCAATACTATATCTTCTTATGTAATTTTAAATTCCACTCAGGTTATTTCCTCATCTGTCAATTTTAAAAGAAAAATACAGGATTCTTTGGGGTTGCATATATTTCCCAAAATGGACTTACAGTGTAAATTTTGGTTAACATTTCATAAACATCCATCAAGGCTGTACATGTTGGAGGGGACAGCTACAATGCATTCCAAAGAACCATAGAGGAACCATTTATAGTGCTGCAGAGTAGAAGTCAGGGGAGGCCATTTTCTATTAGATTTCCAAATAGATTAAGAGAGCAACAGTGAGATTTGTATATGTGGTGGTGCTCTTGTTTTGTTGTAATATTTATGTGTTTTGGCAAAATCTTTTTAGGCAAGCTGGCAGGTGAACTGTTTCTTAATAACTTTACTGTTATGTAAAAGGAAACTTTAAGAAAATATCTTTTTAATTGATTTTAGAGAGAGAAAAGAAGGGAGGGGTAGAAACATCCATCAGTTGTCTCCCAGGAATCAAACCTGAAACCTGGCTATGTGGCCTGACCGGAATCGAACTGGCAACCTTTCGGTGCATGTGAGGACGCTCAGAACGCCAGGCTGGGGCTGCTGGGTCCTGCAGGAGCTGACAGTTCGCTCCTCTGGGGTCTTCTTCCAGAGACCTTAGGGGAGATGGCACGGACATCCTTGTAAAAGGACCAGGAAGCTGGAGGACAGGAAGCTGCAAGGACTGGACAATGAGCATCAACCAGACTTCGAGGGAACGCTAGCACCTCAGCTCCGCCCTGCCGGCGGCGGGCGGCCAGGCACCCCAGCGGGACCGCCTTGCCACGACGACCCCCCTGGTTCCTCTGACCTCCTCAGCGCGCTGTGCAAGGCCCGGCTCCCGCCACGAATTTTGTTTTTAACTCACAACGTAAAGAGGCGCTCACAGAGCCTTCTGGTTGCGGGAAGGGGACCCTTGGAGGGCGAGGATAAGAAAGGACTCCGAGTGCGAGGTGAAGATGGAGGAAGGTGCCCAGGCCCCAGACTGGGACAGCGACGAAACGGTGATAGACGGGTCGGTGACGGAGAGTGACCTGGAGGACGAGGAGCTGCCCTGGAGAAGGTGACCATCAGCCTCCGGTGCTGGGCCGGGTGACCGCCCGGAGGCCTGCACCGGCGCCGGGTGGGGAGACATTAGCAGACCAGAGTCCGTAGGCCTTGTGAGGCCGGAGGCCTGAGCTGAGAACTCGTAAATAAACCAGGCCACAACCCCCCAACTTAAGACAAAACGAGCTTTAGAGGAGCTGGCTTTATGGCATTAAAAAAATGAATAAAATAAAAATAAAAAAAGCCTTTACTCTTAGCCTGAGGCCGTAAGTCCTTTTAAACAGGCCAAAACGTAGTAGGTCTACACAGCTGCAGTGCATTTTGCTCCCAGCAGCTTGTAGCTCAGGTCTAGGAGACGGTTAACATCATCTCTCGGGAGAAGAGTATGTGATGAGAGAACCGGATACCACCGAGCTGGAAACCGGGAATTCCCTAAGAATCAAAGAAGGCGGCAGTGTGGTCCACCAACACCTTCTTGGACACACGTCGCTTTCGGTGCTAGATTCGGGGAAAGGATAAAAGAGCTGGGGCCCCTGCCTTTGGAAGGACACGTGCACACGATCTCCCTGCAGTGTGGGAAGCCCCGGGGGGTTGAGGAGCTCGGAGAGTCTGTCACCGCAGCCCAGGGGGCCGTCGGAGCTGGTTGGGGTTATTTCTGAGTCCAGGCTCCAGGACGGGGTAGGAATTAGCCGGACGGAGAACAGGAGGTGTTCTAGGCCAGGGTGTGGCTGTGGGACATGGCATGGTGTTGTGTGTGGTGGAATGTAAGGTTAGTGCTTAGCGAAGTGCCGGATGCTGAGGTGGTGGGCGGTGAGCCTGGTAGGGTGAGGTCTTCTAAGGCCTCAGATATCCCGCATGTGTCCCTGTGAAATGTTAGGTGGAGGAGCAGCCTTTTCAGATTTTTGTTGACTCCAGCATGTCCTAGACCAGGGCCTTTAATTAAATTAAATTAACTAATTAATTTATTTTTAAGACAGGGATGCCCACTTTCACCACTCCTTTTAAAAGATATATACTCTTATTGTGATCAGAGAGGGAGAGGAAGAGAGAGAGATAGAAACATCCATGATGAGACAATCATTGATTGGCTGCCTCCTGCATGCCCCCCCCCCCCCACTGGGCATTGAGCCCTGACCAAGAATCGAACCATGACCTCCTGGTTCATAGGTAGATGCTCAACCACTGAGCCACGCTGGCTAGACTAGGGCTTTTAAAATTTTAATGCCCTTGTAAATCACTGTGGAATCCTGGTAAAATGTGTATTCCAATTCAGGAGTTATCTGGAGGGATCTGAGATTCTGCATTGCTAACAAGCTTCCAGATTAAAGTTGGTACTATTAGAGAAGGGATCACCTTTTACAAGAGCTTATCAAAGTAGTAACAGACTGGGATGATGAGAGCTCAACTAAGAAGAAACAATGGGAATGGAGGGAAAAGGGCAAATTTGAGAAATCTTTAGAGAGTAAATTTGGCAGGAGATGGTGGTTCATTAGAAGTGGAGGATGATACCCAGGTTTCTGGCTTGTTTATGTACTAGAGGCCCAGTGCATGAAATCGTGCACTGGTGGGGTTCCCAGTGCCTGCTGGCTGCTGGCCAGGGCCTTCCTCCCTTCCCCTGGCCAGCTCCATCCCCTGGTCGAACTCCCAGAGAACTCCCGGTCCAGGGGACAATTTGCATACTATGCTTTTATTATATAGAATACACATACAATAATATTCGCTCTTATTGGTATCCAGGAAACATTTTGACTAATCTTATAACCACCACCACAATCAAGGTCCACAACAGTTCCATCACTCCAGAAAAACTCCCTTTAGCTGCCGCTTTGTAGTTAAGCCCCTCTCCAATTTATTTATATTTTAAAAAATATATTTTATTGATTTTTCACAGAGAGGCAGGGAGAGGGATAGAGAGTTAGAAACATCGATGAGAGAGAAACATCGATCAGCTGCCTCCTGCACGCCCCTTACTGGGGATGTGCCCACAACCAAGGTACATGCCCTTGACCGGAATCAAACCCAGGACCCCCCAGTCTGCAGGCCGACACTCTATCCACTGAGCCAAACCAGTTAAGGCAAGCCCCTCTCCAATTTAAATCACTATTCCTATATATGTAGTATATCATCTTTTTTTGTCTGTCTGTTTTCTTTCTTTCCTCCTCCCCTCATCTTTGGTTGTTAGCAGTTTGATTATGATGTGCCTAGGCATGATTTTCTTTGTGTTTTTTACTGTTTTTGGTTCATTGATCTTGAATCTATAAATGTATGTCTTTCACCAAACTTGGGAAGTTTTCTGTTATAATTCCTTCATAGATGTTTTTTTCTGTACCAATTTCTTCTCTTCTGGAACTTTAAATGACCATAAATGGTCTCCCAGCTGCCTGAAGCTTTATTAATTCTATGGTCTTTCCTCTGTGTGCATGCATACCTGGTGTATCCCTCTCTTCTAATTTGATTATTAGATACCAGTCAGATTAGGGCCCCACCCTTATTGCCTGGGTCCAGCCTCAGGGGTCCAGGGGTTCCCAAAGGTGTGGATGAAGTCGGTGAAGAATGTTTTACATGGAGACAGCATTCAGAACTCTCTAGCTCTCTTTAGTCTCCATGGATCTTCCTGTGCCTGGCTGAGGCCACAGAGAAAGATCGAGGCAAGCTGAGCCTTTTATTTTATAGTCACAGGTAAACAAGGCAGTGGTTTCCATAGTTACACTCTTCTTGTGAGTTTCACTTGTTGTTCTTGCTGCAGTTCCCTCAGCCTATTAGCTTCCCAGATAAGATCTAGGGAGCTTTTAAGGTCAAGCCTAATTATGCTAAGAAGACTGTGCCCTCTAAGCTGGGACTTGTTTGTGACTTTGCCAACAGGTCAGTCGGAGGCTTAACCCTATAGAGGCTCCCCACACCTTATAATCTTAATTGCCTCCTTTAAGGACTTGTTTCCAAATCTAGTCACATTGGGGGTTGATCTAAGTGGGTTCATGTCAAAAAACCCATGAGCCACTTTGGAGAAGCTATCACTAGCTAAAAATGGGACAGTTTGAACATTGAGAAGAACTATAACAGCAGTGGATTTAAATCAATGAGTTTGTAATGGTCTTTAAAAACATATTTCAATATTATGAAAACTGATAAGGAAAGAGAAAGAAGCAGCCCTAGCTGGTTTGGCTCAGTGGACTGAAGGGTCCCGGGTTCAATTTAGGTCAAGGGCACATGCCCAAGTTGTGAGTTCAGTCCACAGTAGGGGGTGCAGGAGGCAGTTTTTGTTTCTATCTCTATCTCCCTCACCCTTTCTCTCTGAAATCTATAAAAAAAATTTTTTAAATAAAATAAAATGAAAAGAAAGGAAGGAAGGAAGGAAGAAAGAAGCAGGCATTTATTTTGCCTTTCCTATGCAAACTGTAACTAAGTAACTTGGCTGAGTTAACATAGCTTGATGGAAAGTAATTGTATAGTTTATGAGTGAAAGTGTTTTTTAAAAAATATATTTTTATTGACTTTGGAGAGAGAAAGGGAGAGGGGGAGAGAGAGAGAGAAACATCAATGATGAGAGAGAATCATTCATTGGCTGCCTCTTACATGACCCCTGCATGTGTTCTGACTGGGAATCAAACCCTGACCTCCTGGCTCATCGGTTGATGCTCAACCACTGAACCACACCAGCTGGGCATGAGTGAAAGTTTTTAAAAAATATGTATTTCAATTAAATGAAGAAAGTAATAAAGTAGAATATTGCCATTTTATATACTCCTAATAATGAATAGACCTAGGCAGGGTCATCAGTGGTCACTAACATCACAAAATGAGTTACAACCATCATATTGAGCAAGTGGCATCTGTTGCCTATCACCAGAAGCAGAAATCCACACACTTCTACCCACTGTATCTTGGTATCAGAGTCACCAATGAAAACACAGTGCTGGAACAACACTTCACTCACATAGAGAAGGGACAGAACAAGATTGGCTTCAATAGTGGGCACTGGTCCCCCATGGCCACTGGCATGCCCACACCCCTCTTGTGCCACAGAATGAGGAACTTCATCCTCTCCCCACAGAAGACATATAGTGGTGGGATTGGCCAGGTGCCAACTGACACACACTTAAACAAATCAAAGGAATACACACTGAGTCTGAAACAAGGAAAGGTATTTTCACACAAGGCAATAGGTCCAGCACATCCTGAGAGAACTCTTTGTCTCTTTGTAAGAGAGCGTTTCAAGCTCGAGGCCAAAAGGTAGTTGAAAGACTGCATGCACAAGACTGCCTTTCCCGACATATACTTCATTATCTTCTGTAGGAAGTACACATATGCTTCCCCAAATTGAACTTGAATTAGATCAAACCTCTAGGTCTAGTAACCAGTTTACAGGAAATATACAAGATAGAGGAACATATTAAATAACATGCAGTCAGTAAATGCAAAATGTGTGAAACTCTTCAGTAAAAACAACCCAGTTTTTTCAACAAATAAATTGCAAAGGGGTGGGGGAGGTTGGGGGTAATATATAGATTTAAAAAGAGACTTACATAGCAACTAAATGCAATGTGTACCTTGTTTGGATCCTGATTTGAACAAAACAACTGTAAAAAGAGACACTTGGGGAAATGTAACTAAAATGTCTTTATTAGGTTTCCATTGCTGTATAACAGCTTACTCCAAAACTTAGCATCTTAAAACAATAAACATTACTATCTTGTAGTTTTTGTGCTTCAGGAATCTGGGAGTTGCTTAACTAAATCATCCTGCTCAGGGACTCCCAAGGCTGCATTCATCTCAAGGGTTCATGAGAAGGATCCACTTACACATGGTTTTAAGAATTAGTTCCTTTCTGGCCTTAGTTCCTCTCTTACCTTCTTGCCACATAGGCTTCTCCACAGGGCATTTCACAACAAGGCGAACTGACTTCCATGAGCATATAGAAGCAAGAGAGTAAGAGGAAGACAAGATGGAAGCTAGTGAATTTTTGTAACCTAATCTCAGAAGTAACATCCCAACATATTGATAGTGGTATAACTAAGAATGCTAGCAAGTTTAGGTATAAAAAAAGACAGTTAAGGTTTCATTTTTTATGGCTGAGTAATATTCCATCTTACATCTGTACCACAACTTTTTTTTTTCCAGACACATTTTTGGATACACCTTGGTGAAATTTTTTTATTGTGTTAGCATACCAGTTATTAAATTTTTAATGGACTTTATTTTTAGAGCAGTTTTACATTCACATTAAAGTTGAGCCAAAAAAACATAGCCCTTGCCAGTACACTTGCACAGCCTCACTCACTGTCAACGCCAGTGAACCTACGACACATCACTGTCATCCAAAGTTTGTAGTTTACGTTCATCATACTTTGTATTATTTCAATCTTTTTAAATTGGTTGAGACTTGCCTAAGGCGAGCTATCCTGGAGAATGTTCGTGTGTGCTTGAGAAGAATGTGTTCTGATGCTGTTGGGTGGAATGTCCTCCTTGTCTGTCAGGTCGAGTTGCTGTACCACAACTTTTTTATCCACTCGTCTATTGATAGGTACTTGGTTTGCTTTCATATCTTGGCTAGTCTAAATAACACTGCAGTGAACGTAGATAGGGATGCATATAATCTTTTGGGTTTCTTCTGATAAATCTCCAGAAGTGGAATTGGTGGGTCATAAAGTAGTTCCATTTTTAATTTTTTGAGGAAACTCCATACTGTTTTCCATAGTGGCTGCACCAATCTGCATTCCCACCAACAGTGCATGAGGGTTCCCTTTTCTCCACATCCTTGTCAACACTTATCACTTGTTGATGGTAGCCGTTCTGACAGGTGTGAGGTGATATCTCATTGTAGTTTTAATTTTCATTTCTCTGATAGTGATGTTGAGCATCTTTTTATATGACTGTTGGCCATCTATATGTCCTCTTCAGAGAAGTGTCTACTCAGATCCTGTCCTAATTTTTTGTTAATCTTCACCCGAGAATTTTTTTTCCAATTGACATTTAGAGAGAGTGGAAGGGAGGGAGGAAGGGGGAAGATGAGAGAGAGAGAAAGAGAGAGAGAGAAAGGGAGAGAGAGAGAGAGAAACATCAGTATGAGAAAGACCGATTGGTTGCCTTCTGCATGTGACAATGCTGGCCAGGGATTGAACCTTCAACCCAGGTACGTGACCTTGACTGGGAATCAAACCCTTGACCCTCTGGTGTGAGGGCCAACACTCTAATCACTTAGCCATACAGACCAGGGCCTGTGCTCATTTTTTAAATTGGATTGTTTGTTGTTGTGACAGCCTGGATGGACCTAGAGGGGAGTATGCTCAGTGAAATAAGTCAGTCAGAGAAAGAAATACTATATGATTTCACTAATATGCGGAATCTAAAGAACAAAATAAACAAAACGGACTTATAGATGCAGATGGTTGCCAGAAGGGAGAAGGGGTTGGGGATTGGGTGAAAAAGGTGAAGGGATTAAGAAGAACAAATTGGCAGTTACAAAATAGTCACAGGTATGTAAAGGAAAGCATAGGGAATATAGTCAATAATATTGTATGGTGCCAGTTGGGAACTGGAAATATTGAGGGGAACACTTTGTAATGTATATGATTGTCTAACATCTAAGCTGTACACCCTAAACCAGTGTTTGGCAAACTGCGGCTTGCGAGCCACATGCAGCTCTTTGGCCCCTTGAGTGTGGCTCTTTCTAAGCCTTAGGAGTACCCTAATTAAGTTAATAACAATGTACCTATCTATATAGTTTAAGTTTAAAAAATTTGGCTCTCAAAAGAAATTTCAATCATTGTACTGTTGATATTTGGCTCTGTTGACTAATGAGTTTGCCGACCACTGCCCTAAACCAATACAAAATAAAATTGACAGTAAACTGTAGGAAAAAACCTGACAGTTAAATTGTTAGTCTTTGTTTAGGAAACATGATAACAACCTGTACCTTCTTTTTGGTATTTGAAAGGTTGCTCTTTGATCAAGACACATCTCTTAGATCTGAGTTCAGTCTCCATCCTGATATAAGTGGAATATGCAAAGGTGAGAAATAATTCTTTTCACTAAGTAGTCCATTTAATTTCTCAGGTGTTATTATTTCATTAATGTCTCCTTTTATATTTAGTCTTGTTCTTTAACTTTACACAGAGTTAGTTTCTTTGAGGCATCTGTAATAGACCCGGAGGCCTATTATGGTCTGTTACTATGAGGACAGCAATGGGGATTATACTTCTGGAAGATGTTTACAACAGAGATTATGGTAGTAGTAATGAGATAGCTCTTCTCTGCCCCCCAACTCTATAGCTTAACCCTAGAAGCTGCAAAAGTAAATACTTCTTTCTTGTTAATCCTCTCCCAAGGATATTTTTCCCATTGATTTTTAGAGAGAGGAGGGAGGGGGAGAGAGATAGAGAAACATCAATGTGAGAGAGACACATTGACTGGTTGCCTCCTACACACACCCCCAACAGGAGCTGGGGATCAAACCTGCAACCCCGGTACGTGCTCTTGACTGAGAATTGAACCCACGATCCTTTGGTATACAGGCCAGTGCTCTAACTACTGAGCAACAACTGCCAGGGCAGTAAATAGTACTTTTTAATAACCAGTCTGATTCTTTCAGTCAAAATTAAGTTGCAGATATCCTTGGTATATATTTTTTATTTATTTTCATTTTATTATTTTTTATTGAGGTAGAAGTAACATATAACCTCATATTATTTTCAAGTGTAAAAAATAATGATTCAGCATCCTATATAATAAAACCCTTATATGCAAATAGACTGAATGGCGGAACGACCAGCAGAACGACCGGTCACTATGATGCACACTGACCACCAGGGGGCAGATGTTTAATGCAGGAGCTGCTCCTGCATTGAGCATCTGGCCGCTTTTCACCTGTATGAAAAGTATGGTCACTGGTGCATACAGTGTTCGGATTTCAAGAGGGATGTCCCACTGCTGGTTTAGACCCGACATCCCCTGAGGGGGTCCCAGATTGCAAGAGGACGCAGGCCACGCTGAGTTAATAACCAGTCTGATTCTTTCAGTCAAAATTAAGTTGCAGATATCCTTGGTATATATTTTTTATTTATTTTCATTTTATTATTTTTTATTGAGGTAGAAGTAACATATAACCTCATATTATTTTCAAGTGTAAAAAATAATGATTCAGCATCCTATATAATAAAACCCTTATATGCAAATAGACTGAATGGCGGAACGACCAGCAGAACGACCGGTCACTATGATGCACACTGACCACCAGGGGGCAGATGTTTAATGCAGGAGCTGCTCCTGCATTGAGCATCTGGCCCCCCGCCCCCCAGAGGGAGGTGACTGGCAGCAGCGATTAAGGGGTGAGGCCAGCCAGTGGGTGGCGCCGGGCTGCCAGCCAAAGTGGGTGCCAGCAGCCCCCCCACCCCCCATCGCCGTGCCTGCTGGTTGCCCCACAGATGGCCCTGATTGCTGGCCAGGCCTAGGGACCATACCCTATATATTGGGAACAGTCTCTTAGATTTAAAAATTAAAACCTGGCAAGGCTACTCTAACACTGAAAAAACAGGATGATGCAGTGATGACATGCATGGACTCTGGCTTGCACATTTTCTGGTCAGCCCTGATTCTGACACTTATAACTGTGTGACAAAGCCAATTACTTAACTTCTCTCTGCTTCAGTTTTTCCACCCATGAGATAGGGAAAATTGTACTACTGCCTCAGAAGAATCATGTTATGTACTACTTTTTATAATCAGGGCAAAAAAATGCAGCTGCCCATACAACAAACAGCAAGATGCTTTTCACCTGTATGAAAAGTATGGTCACTGGTGCATACAGTGTTCGGATTTCAAGAGGGATGTCCCACTGCTGGTTTAGACCCGACATCCCCTGAGGGGGTCCCAGATTGCAAGAGGACGCAGGCCACGCTGAGGGACCCCCCTTCATGCACGGATTTCATGTACCGGGCCTCTAGTTTCTATATATTTTGAAATGATCACTACAGTAAATCTAGTTAACATAGTCTATTACATTAGTGCAGTTAACATTGTCACACAATAAGTCTAGTTATATATTTTTCAAAAGTGCCTGTCACCTGCCAATTCATACTTCCTGAGTCCACTTCTAGACCAATGTAAATGGTGTCTAGAAAAGCCTGTCCACTAATTGTTACTGTTTAAAAAGTTCAGTTCTGCAGTTGGTGTTTAAACGGTAGGTTATCTCCTTGTATTATTTCTTCTTGTGAGAATTTTCATTTCGGAGGATGTCTGGAAATGAGTATAGAAGAAAAATTTCCTAAACACCATGAAGATCTTTGTATAGTTTGCAATGTCTTTTCACTGTACATTACTTCACCTCATACCACAATGGCAAGTTACAGTTTCGTCTTGGAGTGGTTTTTCTTACTTGTAAATGGAAGGGACAGTGAGTAATATTGGTCTCCAGAATGTATTCTTTGATGTATAAAGTGCCAGTAGAAAAAAAGTTAGAGGACTGCTTTAATATTCTATCCAAGTTTTTTCTTTTATGTCCTTTTCCAAATAGACTTTTATTATTTTTGCTAATTACTAAAAGTATAAAACATTTAAAAAATAAAAAATTATATTATGTAGAAAATTGAAGATCCTATCCCCTATTCTTTCCTACAGTTCCACTCCCAATAATTGCCAGCATTTAGTATTTGTATATCCTTCTAGACTTTTGTATGCCGACATAAATATCTCTTATCATAATTGCTATTGTACTACATAATATGTTTCATATTTTGTTATATTTATCTACCTTAACCTTTTAAATTGCTACATATTATTTTGTATGAATGTACCCTTACTTAATAAATAGATTATATTTTTGATGTTTCTCAATACTATAACAAATATGAATATTCTAATGCTTACACCTTTGCCTACTTTTAAATTATTTATTTAGAATAAATAACTAGCTAAAGTTAGATTAACTTTCAAATAATGTATTCTGATTTTAAAGGATCTGACATGTGTCAGATCTTGACATTATGGACCCCTAGAAAAATGGCTTTCCCCTCCAACCAACATAGGACATATTCAGTCTTTGCAAAACTAATAAATAAAAAGTATCTGATTATTTTAATTTTAAAGACTATTTAGGCATATATTAATATTGATCATTCATACTTTTTTGGTGTTAATTGTCTTATATATCTCCTAATCTTTATTATTTATTTATAAGAGCATTTTACATATTAAATATAACATATTTATTGCATATGTATTGCAAATAGGTATTCCCAGTTTCTTAGTAATGTTTTCATGTTATTCATGATATTTTGTATTGTAGAAGTTTTAAGTTTTTATGTAGTAAAAGTCAGTCTTTTTTCTTTTAACTTCTTTTTTTTTAATCCTCACCAGAGGATATTTTTCCATTGAATTTTAGAGAGAGTGGAAGAGAGGGAGGAAGAGAGAGAGAAATATCAATGTGAGAGAAACACATCAATTGGTTGTCTCCTGCATGCACCCCAACCAGGGCCCAGAGATGAGTCTGCAACCCAGGTATGTGCCCTTGACTGGAATGGAATCTGGGACTCTTTGGTCCACAGGCTGATGCTTTTATCCACTGAGCCAAACCGGCTAGGGCAGTCTCTTCTTCTTCTTCTTCTTCTTTTTTTAAGGTTTATTAGTTTTTTCAAATTTAGAAATAGTTTACCTATTTCAAGACTATAAAGTATTTTCTTCTCTCTTAATTTCCACTTACTATATTTATAGCTTTTACAAATAATCTCTTTGGAATATTTTGGCCTATGGGAAGGTAGTTCTACATTTATTTTTTTCTAAATGATTAACCAATTTTCCCAATATTATTTATTGAATAATTCTTCTTGGTGCCACTGTTTAAAATACCATATTGTTACATATTAAATTCCTAGATATATATGTCTGTTTCCCACTTTTTTTTTGTTTTGTTTCATTGATCTTTTTGACTATTTCTACTTCTGTGCCATTATTACATTATTTTACCAACCTTAGCTTTTAGTTCATTTCTATATCTGGGCAGGAATATATCTTCCTACACAGAGTAGCTGGCTACAACATTCATCCTAAGCTTCTTGATACAAACAGCAAGCTCAGTACCACTGTGAATTCTAATTTACCCTCTTGCATCTTTGTTGGTGAGATTTCTGAGCTGGGTCATTTTCAGGGATTCTGATGGAAGAAGTCCATATACTAGTAGTTACTTCTGAAGGAGCCCCTCCTTTTCTATGTTGAGTGACCAGCTGTTTACTAATATTTTCTATTTAATCTATTTTCATCTTGTAATCTATAGAGGGTATCTTCCCCCCCACGCCCCACCCCTGCCTTTTTTTGTTTTTAAACCATTGCTGTTTTAGATTTTTAAAACCTAATCATTCCTTTGGATTCTTTTTAGGAATTGGGAAGGGAAGAAAGTTAAAATATGGGCTCAATTTGCCATCTTGAAATAGAAATTTGGACTTTTTTTGAATTATATACTAGCATGATGGGTTTTTAAAAAGACCTAAAATTTTTTTTAAAAGGAAAGTATTCTTTCTAGTGAGATTTAAGTCTATATAATTTTCTATTTATATCCTTTGCATCATTCATCCTGATAAAAAGTAACTATCAAGTATTATTTTATTTACTGTAATGTGTATGTTTCTTCCTAATTAATAAGTTAAAAACCATAATTCATAAAAGTGACAATTAGGAAATTATAATTTACAAAATGACCTTTTATGACATTTTTTTTTTTACTATCTTTAAATCCTTGAGTCATTGTCAGAGCAATAAAACTGTTATGCCTGACTATGATTATATTCCATTCTAGGCACATGCTCTCCTGAGATTCAACTTGGGTTGAAGCTCAGAGAGGATCCACAAATGCAAATAAGTGAAAAGAAGACCATGCCTGTGCTTAATGAGGATGCAGTCTTACAGGTGTGTAAGCATATTGATTAAATACATACTTGTTAAAAACTGGAAATGCTACTTTAAAGAGTGACAAATTACTAATGATTAATTCTTTTTGTCTGTTATTTTGCTGCTTCTTTCTTTTATCAGTTTTTTTCTCCTTAGCTAATCATTCTGTTTCTCTGTTGCAAATTTATTGAAAGACAGTTGTTTTAGGAGGAGGTGTTAAAATATTTCCTTTTTCCTCTTTATTTTTCTCTTTCAGTAGAGATATGGAAGTGGGAGGAACAGAATGTTATAAGAGGTTAGAATTATATTAGAATATAATAATTACAGTTTTCATCTCCATGATATGTCAGAGTCATCTTAAATTTGTGAAGAAGACACTAGTCTGTGAGGTAGAATTTGTGGTATGGGCCACTGAAAGGCTTTTCTGTTGTTCTGTGTGTGTGAATGCATGTGTGTGTACACACACTTATATACACACATTTTTATTTGCTTTGTAATGTAATCACCTTGAGGTAAGGTAAGGGGTGATTTAGTTAGTACCTTGACCTTGGCATAAATAAATTAGCTAACCAGAGATACCTACAAAGTCTTAAGGAATGGAAGGGAAGATTTGACCATGAGGATCTATTTAATATTGTACCTAGGAAGGTGTCTCACTTGAATTATCTCTGATTAAAAGAAAATTTTAACATAAAATATTTTTTCTTGAAGCTGAAACGTCTATATTTAGTTTCTAATAATTTGCTTAAAATCATTTTGCAATTTCTGAGTTAAGGGAAAAACATTTTCCTTCTTAGTCTCAGTAATTGTGAAATGGGAAATAATAATTTTATAAGTTTATTTCAGAAGCATTTGCTATGAGAATATTGTACCAGGCTCTAGATTATACCTCAGAACAGTGATTTTGAAAGTTTGATCATTAGACTCATTTGGATAGCTTTTTAAAAATATAGACTCTTGACACCTGTACTTGAGTGGAACTTAGGAATCTCCATTTTTAAATATATATTTTATTGATTTTTTACAGAGAGGAAGGGAGAGGGATAGAGAGTTAGAAACATCCATCAGCTGCCTCCTGTACACCCCCTATTGAGGATGTGCCTGAAACCAAGGTACATGCCCTTGACCAGAATCGAACCCAGGACCCTTCAGTCCGCAGGCCAACGCTCTGTCTACTGAGCCAAACCGGTTAGGGCAGGAATCTCCATTTTGAAAGACTCCCAAGTAATTTCTGATAATCAACCAGCTTGGAACAATTGCTTTACAGGACTTTAAGAGTTAATGGTTATATCTTTCAAAGGTTGGACATCAGATAGTAAATCAGTCATCTGCTGTATGGGCTTGTAAAAATAGAAGAAGGATAAATGAAGTATTTGATATTTGTTCCTCTTTTTTTCACATTCATGGGAATTCATTGGTAGTAAAATAGATACCTCCTTTAACTTTCCCCTATCCCTCTTTTTTGTGTCTGCAGTAAAAGTTAGACCATATAACCAAAATGTTTAAACATCTGTAGTGAATTTTTTTTTTTTTTTTTAAATTTATTTTTTTTTTATTAAGAATTTTTATTTTCATTCTTGTCCCCATGTTCTCTGCGCTTCTCTCCTGCAGCTTCTGCGGGTCTCAGTGTGCCTTTCCTTCCTTCTAGTTGTAGAGTTTACAGTCAGCCAGGCTTCCTGTGGTTCTGGATGAAGTCCGTGTTGTTTCTCTGAGGTATTAATCAATTGTTGTGAGCGGCATTAACTTCCCGGTGTTTATCTCTGCCGCCATCTTAGTTTCTCCACATCTGTAGTGAATTTTAATATTATTTTAAAAATTCATACATATTGTTCTCATTATTTTTATTTTCATTCTATGAAAATAAACCATTAGGGGAAGGGAAATATTCTTTCCCCACCTTAAAAAACAGACCCCAACACTTTCCACAGTTATTCTTTCTTTATATTCCAACACTCAGAACCCTTGTGACATTAGTCAGTGGGGGCTTGTTGTGTGAATCATGGATGGAAATGCAAGTGGGCCTCAGCCAAGGAGACAGACAGACTTGGGTCCCTTTCCCTCAACCTTTACACTTGGTCAATCTTTGGGAAACCACCCTTCTTCTGCTCTCGGCCCCGGGTCCACATCCAGGTCAGCATGCAGCCAATCAGCGCGTTCCATTCCTCTGGCCACAATGATTGACTCAAGGATGGCAATATAATCCCAAACTAGACCAATGAGGCTGACTGACATTTGGCGTTTTTATTGGCCTCCTTTCCCCACTAGAGCCGCTAAGCTCCGGAGATGTAAACCGGCTTCTTCTGCTTCAGGCCTCTAGGGGGCGCTTAGCGAAGTGGGGGGAGAAAGAAAAGGCCACTGTGGGGGGCGGGGGGGAGAAGAAATTATATGAGAGAAATTGATTTTATCAAAGAAATGGAGAGACCAGAAAAGACACTTTCCCATAATTATTTTCAAATAATAAAATATATTGTTTTATACCTTGAATTGATTTCTAAATAAATTCCAAAAAAATTACTAAATGGATTTCTAAATAAATTGTTCCTTAGTACTCATATACAATATTTATATTTCAACTTCAAAACAGAATATTTTAGAAATGATGGACTATTTTAGATAAGGATAAACTTTGTAGAAATTGAGGATCTTTGGTTTGTTATACACTATACTAATTTTTAAAAATATAGGCAGGTACTGGCTGGTGTGGCTCAGTTGGCTGGGCGTTGTCTTGTCTACCAAAAGGTTGCCAGTTTGATTCCCGGTCAAGGACACATGGCTGAGTTGTGGGCTCAGTGTCCGGAAGAGGGTGTGCAGGAGACAACCAATCGCTGTTACACTCTCACATCGATGTTTCTCTCAATCTCTAAAAAAACCAATACACTATTCTTAAAAAGTAAAATAAAAATATAAACAGTATCTACCCTAACCGGTTTGGCTCAGTGGATAGAGCGTTGGCCTGCTGACTGAAAGGTCCCAGGTTCGATTCTGGTCAAGGGCATGTACCTTGGTTGTAGGCACATCCCCAGTAGGAGGTGTGCAGGAGGCAGCTGATCGATGTTTCTCTCTTATCCATGTTTCTAACTCTCTATCCCTCTCCCTTCCACTCTGTAAAAAAATCAATAAAAATAAAAAATATATATAAGCAGCATCTTTTAAAATATTTTATATTCATCATTTTTGTTGGGTCTTGCAATACCTTTCCTTATTATTTACAGGTGCTATATAGCAAACAGTTTTTATTTTTAAATTTTTATTTTTTATTTTATTTGAACATTTATTTTCTTTGATATATATAAGGTGGGACAAAAGTAGATTTACAGTTGTAAGTATGAGAAACAGTTTATTCTTGTGTTATTATTTATTAACTAGAGGCCTGGTGCATGAATTTGTGCACCAGTGGCGTCCCTTGGCCTGGCCTGCGGGATCGGGCCGAAACCAGCTCTCCGATATCCCCTCAGGGGTCCCGTATTGCGAGAGGGCGCAGGCCAGGCCAAGGGACCCCACGGGTGCACGATCAGGGCGGGGAGGGACTGCAGGAGGGCTCCAGGGCATGTCTGGCCCATTTCACTCAGTCCCAATTGGCCGGACCCCAGCAGCAAGCTAACCTACCGGTCAGAGTGTCTGCCCCTGGTGGTCAGTGCATGTCATAGCGAGTGGTTGAACGGCCTTAACATATCATTAGCATATTATGCTTTGATTGGTTGAATGGACGACTGGACGACCGGACACTTAGCATATTAGGCTTTTATTATATAGGATTACTGTATTATTTGCCATACAAACAACTGTAAACCTACTTTTGCCCTGCCTATATAGTACCTGTTTTATTATATTTCTAGGTGACATATTTTTTTGGAAAGCAGTTTTTTAACTTTACATGGAAAATGTTTAGTATAACAGTTTCTGAGAGGATGTTTTTGAATGATATTAACATTTAAATAATAGATTTTAGTAGAGCAGATTACCCTCCATAATGTTGGTGGCCCTCATTCAACCAGTTGAAGGTCTCAATAGAACAAAAAGACAGCTGCCCTGAGCAAGACAGAATTTTCCAGCAGACAGCCTTTGGACTTTGTCTGCATCATCAGTTTTCCTGAGTCTTGAGCGTTGTGACCCACACTGCAGATTGGACTTGCCAGTCCATGAAGCCAATTCCGTATAATACATCTCTTTCTATACATATGTACATATTCTATTGGTTTTGTTTCTCTGGAGAATGCTGATTAGTACAGGGGCATCACTGGTTTTATTATAATCCATTTTTGATCATATAGAAAATACTTGTTTAACAGGGAATAATGATTAATTCAATCTTACAGATATTACCTGTGGAACTCTTTATCTGAGAGGTGTGAATTCAGGTTGAATTTCACTTTCCTTCTCCATTCTGCAGCTTTCACCTTCCATCCTTACCCATATGTAAAGGTGAAATCAATTTAAATCAGCGGTTCTCAACCTGTGGGTCGCAACCCCTTTGGGGGTCAAACGACCCTTTCACAGTGGTCGCCTAAGACCATCGGAAAATACAAATATAATTACATATTGTTTTTGTGATTAATCACTATGCTTTAATTATGTTCAATTTGTAACAATGAAAATATATCCTGCATATCAGATATTTACATTACGATTCGTAGCAGTAGCAAAATTACAGTTATGAAGTAGCCACGAAAATAATTTTATGGTTGGGAGTCACCACAACATGAGGAACTGTATTAAAGGGTCACAGCATTAGGAAGGTTGAGAACCACTGGTTTAAATGAACATTAATGAGAACCTTGAAGGGAAATGAGCAATCACAAGCTTGTTTGATGACCATGTAATAGAAGAAGGATCATGGTTGGCAAGGTCAGCACTCAGAGAGATTTATATGTGTATATAGTACCTGTTTTATTATATATGTAGCTGAAGCTGGTTTGTGTGTGTGTGTGTGTGTGTGTGTTATCAGTATCAGTCTTTTTAAGCCGCAGTAGGGAGGTGACGTTCTCTTTTTAAAAAAATATATATTTTATTGATTTTTCACAGAGAGAAAGGGAGAGGGATAGAGAGCGAGAAACATCGATGAGAGAGAAACATTGATCAGCTGCCTCCTGCACACCCCCCACTGGGGAAGTGCCCGCAACCAAGGTACATGCCCTTGACCGGAATCAAACCCAGGACCCCCCCCAGTCCGTAGGCTGCCCCAGTCCGTAGGCCGACACTCTATCCACCAAGCCAAACCAGCCAGGGCGACATTCTCACTTAATCAGAATTCTTACTCATTGCTTGTGGGAAATGTAGAATGGTTGCAGTCTCTGTAGAAAATGGTATAGTGATCTCACAAAATATTATACATAGGATCCAAAAATTCCACTTTTGCAATTATACCTAAAATAAGTGGATATAGAGACTCAGAAATATATTTGTTTACCCACATTCATAGAAACATTATTCACAATAGCAAAAAGGTGGAAGTAACCAAAGTGTCTACTAATAAATGAGTGGGTAAACAAAATATGGTACATACAATGGAATATTCTTCAGCCATGCTACAACATGGATAAACCTTGAAGACATTATACCAAGTGAAATAAACCACTCATAAGAGGACAAATATATGTAGTATTTCTTTTCTTTTTTTTTTAACCCTCATCGAGGATATTTTTCCATTATTTTTAGAGAGAGTGGAAGGGAGGGAGAAAGGCAGAGAGAAACATCGGACTGGTTGCTTCCCACTCGTGCCCCTACTTGGTTCCAGGGATTGAGCCTGCAACCGATGTACATGCCCTTGACTGGGAATTGAACCCATGCCCCTTCAGCCCGCTAGCCAGCACTCTATCCACTAGGCAAAACTGGCCAGGGCTGCAGTTTTTTTTTTTATATGAGCTACTTAGAGTAGTCAAATTCATAGAGACAAAAAGTAAAAGGGTAGATGCTGAGGGTTGGGGGGGTGGTGAATGGACAGTTAGTGTTTAATGGGTATGGAGTTTTAGTAGGAGAGGATGAATAACTTCTGGAGATGGATAGTGGTGATGGTTGCACATCATTGTGAATATATATGTACCACAGAACTGTACATGGTTAAAATTGTAAATTTTATTTTATACGTATTTTACTACAATAAAAAAAGATGCTAAGAAAGAGTAATATGAATCACCTAAAATGTTAAATTTTTAGTGTGTTGCATTGGGTTAGTATTCATCAGTTGGAAAACTACTGTGTTTTTTTTCCCTAGCAACCTCAAGATGAAATGGAACAAAATCAAGCTCTGTTAGAGTAAGCATACTAATTTTTGGCTTTATTATGTATAGATACTTAGTCATTTTGCACATCAAAAAAGTCTTAATTTTTGTTTTAGAATTATGTTTTTGAATAATTGCCCCTTTAGCAGCATATATAGATATATGTATAATTTTACAAATATTCTCAAGTTTTATTTCTTTTTAAAATTTATTTTTTTAAAGTATTCTTTTTAAAAAAATATGTTTTTATTGATTTTTAGAGAGAGAAGAAGGGAGAGAGATAGAGAGATAGAAATATCAATGATGAGAGAGAATCATTGATCGGCTGCGTCCTGAACGCCCCCTGCTAGAGCCCGAACCTGCAACCTGGGCATGCGCCCTGACTGGGAATTGAACCAGTGACCTCTTGGTGCATGGGTCGTTGCTTAACCACTGAACCACACTGTCTGGGCAGTAAGTTTTATTTCTTAAGAGAGGTTGAATCAGATTAAATGATTCTGTTTATTAATATTATTTTGAAAGGGAATTTAAGGCATAGCATGAAAGAATTTGTAAAGTTTATTGAAATTAGACTTCATACAACTATTTACTTTAGGAGACTTTACCCTTTTAGTTCTTTTAAAACAATGATTCCCAAAGTATGGTCTGTGCACCATCTAGGAATCTTTGAGCCTCTTTCCAGAGAGTCTGTGAGGTCAAAATTATTTTCATAACACTACCAACACATTATTGCCTGTTGCATGGTATTTATGTTTGCACTTACAGTCCTAAAGTAAATGGGTAAAATTCTGGAGCCCTAGGTAGGAATCAGGGCAGTGCCACCAAATAGCACTAATAATAATAGTATTTTTCACTGCCATGTACTAGCAGTTAAAAACAAACAAACAAAAACCTCAGCCATTTTCACTTAATGAATTTGTTGAAGCAGAAAAATTATTAGTTTTATTAAATCAAATGAAGCGGGAAGTATGCTAATAGTACTGAAGTGCTCTAATAGAGCACTTGTTTTAGTTGTAAGCATTATAAGAAAACTAGCCTTACTTTTCTTTTTAATTTGAAAAAATAACTAACAAACTAGTTATTCACACTTGTTTATATGTCAGACATTTTCTTGAAAATGAATGAAGTAACCCAGCCACTTCAAGGAAAATTGCTAATGGTATTTGTTGCAAAAGAAAAAATTCAAGCTTTCAAGAGAAAATTAGAGTTTAGGAAAACTTCTGTCTACCACTTCGACAGTGATGTCTTTCTAATACTTAAAAAGTTTTCTGGTGAGATCAGTGGTAATATTTATAAAGGTGATCTTTTTGATACTTTATAATGAAACACATAGAAGATTTGCATGATTTGCTCTGGCCAGGTGGCAAAGTTGGTTGGAGTGTCATCCCATATACCTAAAAAGGTTTCAGGTTCAATTCCCAGTCAAGGCACATACCTAGGTTTCTGGTTCAATCCCTGGTTGGAGTGTATACATGACACAATCGATTGGTTTCTTTCTTACGTTAGTGTTTTTCTCTCTCTCCTTTCTTCTCTCTTTAAAATCAATAAAAACATATCCTTGAGTGAGGTTTAAAAAAAGATTTGCATAACTCAATATTTTCTAAAGGACCAATGCATGATGTCACAAAATCAGTAATCCTATATAATAAAAGCCTAATATGCAAATTGAGCAAACTGCAGACCGACCTGTGGAATGACTGGTCCTTATGATGTGCACTGACCACCAGGGGGCAGATGCTCAATACAGGAGCTGCCCCCAGGCCAGCCAAGGTGGGTGCCAGCTGGGTGGGGGGGTGATTACCCCGCCGGTTGCCCTACGGATGGGCCCTGATCACTGACCAGGCCTAGGGATCCTACCCAAGCATGAATTTCGTGCATTGAGCCTCTGTGTGTTATAATGTAACACAGTACAAAAAGTTCATTGAGTTTGATTCAATATCTACATTTTCAGTTACCTTTAAGGAAGTTATTGCTTTTATTTTATCCAAAAAGGCTATTAAAATACTCCTTCCTTTTTCTTTTTTTAAAAATATTTTATTGATTTTTTTACAGAGAGGAAGGGAGAGGGATAAAGAGTTAGAAACATCAATCAGCTGCCTCCTGCACTCCCCGCCCTGCCCCCCCTGGGGATATGCCCACAACCAAGGTACATGCCCTTGACCAGAATCAAACCTGGGACCTTTGAGTCCAAAGGCCGACACTTTATCCACTGAGCCAAACCGGTTAGGGCCTCCTTCCTTTTTCAACTGCATGTCTGTATAAGATCAGATTTTTGTTATATATGTCAAACAAAATATATGGCAAAAGAGTGAAAACAGTCTTGGCCTGTGTTTCCCAGTGGTTAGAGCGTCAGCCCATGCACTGAAGGGTCATAGGTTCGATTTGTACCTGGGTTGCAAGTTCTATCCCCAGCCCTGGTCTGGGCGTGTGCAAGAGGGAACCAATCAATGTGTGTCTCTCTCACGTAGGTCTCTCTTCCTCTCTCCCTCTCTCCCTCTCTCCCTCTTCCTCTCTCTCTCCCTCTCTCCCTCTTCCCCCCCCTTTCCCTATGCTTCCCTCCTTCTCTCCCACTCTCTCTAAAAAGCAGTGGAACCCGGCTGGTGTGGCTCAGTGGTTGAATGTTGACCCATGAACCAGGAGGTCACAGTTTGATTCCCAGTCAGGGCACATGCCTGGGTTGTGGGTTTAGTCCCAAGTAAGGGGCATGCAGGAGGCAGTCAATTGATGATTCTCTCTCATCATTGATTTTTCTCCATCACCCTTTCGCTTCCTCTCTTTGAAATCTATAAAAACATATTTTTAAAAATCTATGGAAAAAATATTGAGTGAGGATTAACAAAACAAAAAAGATAAAAAGGAGTAACAAATATGAGATAATAGCTTACATTAAAGAGATTTTTATTTTATTTTATTTTTAAATATACTTTATTGATTTTTTACAGAGAGGAAGGGAGAGAGATAGAGTTAGAAACATTGATGAGAGAGAAACATTGATCAGCTGCCTCCTGCACACCTCCTGCTGGGGATGTGCCCACAACCAAGGTACATCCCTTGACCAGAATCGAACCTGGGACCCCTCAGTCTGCAGGCTGACGCTCTATCCACTGAGCCAAATCAGTTACGGCATTAAAGAGATTTTTAAAAATGTGAAACTGTCACTTTTCTCACTAATTTTTTCGATTTTTGAAAATATCATTTTCATAAAATATATTAACATAGCACTAGATTATTACTGTTACTTTTAAATTAATGGTTATTTTAAAATTTTCTCCATTTTAATTTCTAGCATGTAAATATAAATACAGTAGGTCCTCGGGTTACTTCGGAGATCCGTTCCTATGGTGCGATGTAATGCGATTTTCGCTGTAAGTCGGAACCCACCTACATAAGCACCTATGTTACTCACATGGAGCATATACACAGAGTGATGAAGTGAAACAGTAAAAAAAAAAATTAAAAGAAAGATAATTTCGGACTTTTACTTGTAAATAAATAATAAAAAACAAAGAACAGCCCAAGCACCAAAGGGTCTCTATCTCCCCCCAACTCCCAATCCTCCCACTCTAAAAATCAGTGGGGTATGGAAAAAATATTGAGTGAGGATTAACAAAACAAAAAAGATAAAAAGGAGTAACAAATATGAGATAATAGCTTACATTAAAGAGATTTTTATTTTATTTTATTTTTAAATATACTTTATTGATTTTTTACAGAGAGGAAGGGAGAGAGATAGAGTTAGAAACATTGATGAGAGAGAAACATTGATCAGCTGCCTCCTGCACACCTCCTGCTGGGGATGTGCCCACAACCAAGGTACATGCCCTTGACCGGAATCGAACCTGGGACCCTTCAGTCCGCAGGCCGAAACTCTTCCACTGAGTTAAACCAGCTAGGGCTTTAAGTTGATTTTAGAGAGAGGAAGAGGGGGGAGAGAGAGAGAGATAGAAAAATCAATGATGAGAATTATCAAAAAGCTGCCCCTGGCATGTGGGCCTTCCAACCCCGCCCCCACCCCCCGCCCGGGGTGGGGTGGAGGGCATTGAGCCCACAACCCAGACAGGTTCACTTAAATACAGTAGGTCCTCGGGTTACTTCGGAGATCCGTTCCTATGGTGCGATGTAATGCGATTTTCGCTATAAGTCGGCCCCCACCTACATAAGCACCTATGTTACTCACATGGAGCATATACACAGAGTGATGAAGTGAAACAGTAAAAAAAAAAAATTAAAAGAAAGATAATTTCGGACTTTTACTTGTAAATAAATAATAAAAAACATAAAGCACATATGTACATATGTCAAAATGATGGAACTTTTTTTTTTATATAAGTACTGTAAATGGGATATGGCAAAGTAACCACGAAACAACGTACGTTGAGGCCGGTGTAACTGGAGGACTGTCTGTAATTATAAATTGCATAAACGAAAACTCTTTGGGTTTCCCGATAATTTTTTAAGAGTGTAAAGTAGTCTAAAATCAAAAAGTTTGAGAATTGCTATTTTCAAAAATTCCTTTTACTGAATATATTAGCAATATAAGTTCAGAAACAGAAAAAAAGAAAAGACTAAAGAAGACTAACATAGCATCCATAATCTCACTGCCCCAAAAGAACCATTTGTAGATAGTTTTGTATCCTGTTTTTAAATTTTAATAGTTTATCATAATTATTTTCTCATTAATATATTTTATAAACATGAATTTTAATGGTTTCAGTGGTTCACTCTATAACTTGACTGTACTATAATTTAATCATTCCTCTACTATCAGAGATGTACATTGTTTGCCGTCTTGCCTAATATAAATAACTATTTTTTAATAATTTAGATGAAAGTTTGCTCTATTTTTGGACTTATGTCTTAAGTTCTCCTTAGTAATTATGGAAAAAAATTCTGTTATTGACTCAAACTATGGTTTTATTTTATTGTAAATTAGGTTGTTCTCAAAGAATAACATTTTTTGGGGGGGAATCAGCATTAAGATCTATTTGCCTCATAGAATTATTTTATATGAGCAGTTTCATTTCCATTTTCAAGATAGCATATATTGATTATTTCTATTTTTAGACAGGATAGAATGTTCGATTTATTATTCTTGCATAGGATTTAAGTAGATGTGTCTGGTGCATAAAAACTACTCTTAAAACAGCTGAAAATAGAGGTTTTTCTCTTTAAAATATGTTTTTATTGATTGTAGAGAGAGAAGAGAGAAGGAGAGAGAAACATGGATTGGTTGCTTCCCCATTTGGTTCAGGACCAAACCCACCTGTGCTGTGATAAGGAATCAAATGGCAACCAACTGATCCTTATCAGCCACAGCCCAGGCTTTTCTTTTTCTTTTCTTTTTTTAAGGAAGATATCTTGATTGGATTTGTGTAGTAAAGTAGTTGAGAAAAAAGGGATTAACTGATGGCTTTTCTTCAGTGAACTTTTAATGATCCCAGGCAGGTGATCACAAGTGCAGATTAAGAATGACTTATTTTAGCTATTGTAAATTGTGCTGCTATGAACATAGGGTTGCATATATCCTTTCTGATTGGGACACAGCCTAAGTGCCCACCAGCAGATGAGTGGATTAAAAAACTGTGGTATATCTACATAATGGAATACTACACTGCTATAAAAATGAAGGAATTCTTATCATTTGGATGGTAATTCTTACAGCATGGATGAAACTGGAGAGCATAAATAATATTAAGTGAAATAAGCCAGTCAGAGAAAGATAAATATCACATGATCTCACTCATATGTGGGATATAATGATCAACATAAACTGATGAACAAAAATTGATCCAGAGTCAAGGTGGCACTGAGCAGACCATCCAACCTTGGGGAGAAGGCGGGGGTGGGGGGGTTAAAGATCAACCAAAGGACTTGTATACATGCATATTAGCATAATCAATGGACACAGACACTGGGGTGGTGGGGGCTTGCCCTTGAGGGTGAGAGTGGTGGGGGTTGGGGGGTTAATCGGGGGAAAAAAGACATAATACTTTAAACAACAACAAAAAAGAATGACTTATTTTGCTTTCAATCTGTTCCCTTCAGTATTTCCTATCTTTCCTATCTTTTTCTTTACTGTGAAATACAAGAATTATAAATCATGTCAGTAGTCATTAGTGACTTTCATTTACATCTTAAAGTATAATGACAAACTTTCAGTGTATTAGATAGTCAGGCTACATAATTCAAGAGCAGGGTTTCTTTTTTCCTGACCCCATCACCCCTTTTTGGCAGACAGTCATCCCCAAAGTTACTTTCAGAACTAAGTGTAGGTTTAACATGTTTATACCACTGAAGTTCGCCCATTAAATTTTCAGCTCCCTCTATGCAAGCACTTGAAATATTTTATTTAAGTATATTTTTATTGATTTCAGAGAGGAAGGCAGAAGGAGAGAGAAATAGAAACTTCAATGATGAGAGAGAATCATTGATTGGCTGCCTCCTGCATGCCCCCTACTGGGGATCAAGCCCGAAAACCAGGCATGTGCCCTTGACCAGAATCGAACCCAGGACCCTTCAGTCCACAGGCTGACACTCTATCCACTGAGCCAAATAAAATAGGGCAGCACTTGAAATATTAATGTTAACAAATTGATAGTAATTGTAAAAGTGATTGGAATAATGTAGCAATAAAAACATCCTATTTTGAAATTCCTTTAAATGAAGAAAATAATTTAAATTGTATTTGAATGAGAAAGTGTTTCTTCTTTCCATTTAAAAATTTTTATTTCTTTATTAATTGATATAATTTTATTAATTGATTTATGCTTTAAAACCAGAAAAAGTTGTCCAATGTTCACTGTGTCATTTCCTGAAGCTGAACTTTCACTGAACCACGAAAGCATTCAAGGTATGTTTTCATGGGTAGAGTCATATAAAGTAAATTTGTCTTAGTCTAATTAGATATATTTATTTACAGCTGGGCTAGTCTAGTATATATTGCTATCATACATTTTCAAAAATATTGATTTCAGAAAGGAAGGGAGAGGGAGAGATGGAAAACATCAATGAAGATAATCTTTCATCGGCTGCCTCCTACACACTCCCTACTGGGGACCCAGCCCAAAACCACTGAGCCACATCGGCCGGGTAAAAAATATTTTTTAAAAATGTTAATAGTGTACCAAATAGTCTCAATGCAAAAAGAAAAGCAACTATAGTAGGGTGTTTAAGACTTAATGACTTTAAGAAATAGGAACCTGTTAATACATGAGCTTTTTGTTTTCTCTATTAAATACATAATGTTTATAAAGCATAGGATATTTTTGTTTGTCACTGTGTAAGTACAGAAGAAAGAAAACAGAATTGTAAGTCAAGTTGTCCTGGGATAAGAACTGTACCAAGAAAAGGGAAGACCACATGGCATCAGCAGCCACACATAAAAACATGTAATAAGTGGGGTCTAATTAAGTCCCAAGATGGCAGACTAACTTTATATTCAGTTAAGGAGACTTTTCTACACAGATTAGGTCCCTCATCTCTTAGGAAATTAAAGCCTTAGATGGTCCTGCTAGTCATGATAAGATATTAAAATTGCAGGCATAAATTTGCAATCATGCTAACAGAATAGGTCAATATATAATAATGATAGCACAAAAGCTTTTGTAACATTGGCCACGTAAAACTTAAAGGTAGCATTCTTGGGCAAAACATTAGATCATAAAAAATAACCTTTGTGAAGTTTTTTTTTAATTAAATCTTTATTGTTCAGATTATTACAGTTGTTCCTCTTTTTCCCCCCATAGCTCTCCTCCACCAGGTTCCCCTCCCACCTTCCGCCCTCACCCCCCAAACCACTGTCATTCATAGCTGCACGAGTTTTGTCCAGTCTCTTCCTGCATCCCCCAAACCCCTTTCCCCCCCAAGAATAGTCAGTCCACTCACTTTCTATGCCCCTGATTCTATTATAATCACCAGTTTATTCTGATCATCAGATTATTTATTCACTTGATTTTTAGATTCACTTGTTGATGGATGTTGTTCATAAACTTTGTTGTTCAGAATTTTTTATCTTTACCTTTATCTTCTTCCTCTTCTTAAAGAATACCTTTCAGCATTTCATTTAATGCTGGTTTGGTGGTGATGAACTCCTTTAGCTTTTTCTTATCCGTG